TGCTTCAGAAAGACTTGCACCCTTTCACCTTTGAGCATGCCCGTTCACTCCGAGGCTTTCCCCAAAGTGCAGAGACAATCCTTGTCTATAGGGGCCAGGGAATACCTGCAGTATCAAGGGGACCTCATAAAAAGCTTCGCGCAAACCGGCTGGGTGATATAAGAAATCTCCCCGCGATCAGACTGCAAGAAGGGAAAGGCTTTGACCGCACGTAAGGAACTAAAGCTTACGATGCTTCATTCGCGAAATCCAAAGTTCTTTGCGCGAATCGTCTTACTTTACTGAACAACACTGCTGTCGCACATCTTTCGCGAAAAAGTGCAATCCTTTCGCATCTTCTTTCGCGAAACTTTTGCAAGTCCTTTAAACCAGCTCAAATGGTCGCCCAAGTATAAACTGAAGACAAGGACCTTTAGAACAACCCTCATTTGAGAAAAGATGAGAAGAGATGAAGTGGTGTAAAGCTGTTGCGTGCTTATGCGGTGGGGAAGGCGGTGACATATTGCCCTTCGAAGCCCGCAATATAGACATGCTAGGGCAGTCCCAAGAGAACAAGGACGACATGAAAGACTACACTGGATCGCTAACACAAAGAGGCTAAGTCAAGCTTCCTGTCAACAGAATATGGCGTCAGGTGAAGCCTAGTCACGAAGAGCTCTCCTGGCGCAGAGTCATGTTCTGGGCCTGCACGTTGAAGATCTGCATCGCTAGCAGGATGAGCTGTCAGTCTCGCTGTCCTGCGCTGGTGCATGTCTTTGCGAAGCATCACGCAGTAATGGAAAGCACGATCCGTGACTCCGTGACACCTCCTTTCTATTCATGAGGGACGCCGCAATGTAGCCAGGGATGGTCAACACCGCAAAGCTGATCAGCAAATACACTTCTGCACCATCCTGGCGGCGGCGTTGGAGAACGCATGCGACCCTTCAGCCCTTGCTTGATTCTGTGCACCTGCTGCGTAGCTCCGAGGATGAAGGCAGCGGTAGAAGCACCAGTGCCGAAAACAAACACATTTGCGAAGGCACCTGGGCTTGCCTCAGAGTCCCCAAGGATCCGCTCACGTGCTTCACCACATGCAGGTGTAAACAGTAAGCCTCGCCAGGGAAGAAGTCGGCGAAAATTGCCTTGTTGGTACTTTCGTACACAGCTCTGCCAATCCCCATGAGGACGTAGAAAACCTCCAGCTGCAAAGCTGCGGACAGGAATTCAGCTTGAAATGGCTCCAGGCACCAGCACGCCCCATCCCCAGGTCGCAGGCTGCCCCACAAACCTACAAGAAAGCCAGATGACGCTTCTTTCATCTGGTATCTCTTATCAAAACCATCTGCCTGCTCAGTACAGCCAGCAGAAGGAAGCTGGTAGCTCCTAGTGCCACGACCGGGCCCTTGCCAGTCTTCCTTGCAGCATGACAGGTTGCGGATGTTTATGTGGATGCAAAAGCGCAAAGCGTGTGCAATCGTGTACGTCAAGTCAAGGCACGCCGCGGCTACGCCAAAGACCTTCGACAAGCCGCTGGCCAAGGCCGAGAGCATAGCACCTCAGAGGAGAGAGGAGACATCGGAGAACCAGAAGGGAGGGACTTCGAACGAAAGACGCTGCTTTTGAAGCAGGTCGCCAGCAAAACCAATGAAATCGCTGCTCAGGGCAGGCGTAAGGATGTTCCTGAGGCAGGTCGTCTTCACCGTCTCAGTCGGTTTGAACGTACTCAAGCTGCGGTCACGCCTGCCCACGTAGCCTCCAAGCCATGCCGCTGCAAAGCCAAACGTCAAATTCGTGCACTGCAAGACCTTCGTCAGTACAATCGTTTTGCTTCAGAACCACTCCCAGCGCACGATCTCTCCCACTCAGCTGTGCCAGCGGCCCAAAGTTTCGGATCGCTCCAGAGAGAAACTGCACTAAGCACCTCAGGGCTCTTTTCAGTCCTGTTCCTGCCTCATGTCTTTTATTTCTTGCCTTTGCGAAGACTGACCCACGTGGGGTGGGCTGATCGAAGTTCGTGGCCAGGGCCTGCACGGAAGCTGCAAAGGACAACTGACCGATGCTCAACCTACACCACAATCCATTCAAGAGTATCTGCGGCTAACTGATGCTTCATCAGAAGTCGGCCATAAATGCAGCTGTCGACGCCACTGCCAAACCACAGAAGATGTAGAAAACGATCTGAGTAGGCACTGACATTTGCCCGCTACGCGGCCGTAACCATACTGCAATGGGGTCAGAGGATGCCGCCGAATAATCCAGCTGGGCATACTTTGTCAGGACTGTTGCTGATGCCCTCACTAAACTCCTGAGCCCAGGTTGACAGCACTTGACAGCTGATGACAATGGTAACCTGCAAGAGCCCGTCTGCCATCAAGTGGCTCCATGGCTAAGAAGACCAAAGCAAATGAGCCTGCAAGCTCTGCGGTGACTGCTTGGGCCTGCATGCATGTGACTTGCAAGTGACACACATCGCACAGTCAGTAAAACTGCAATGAGACCGCACAACTGGCCTCCTTTCCTTCAGCTTTGGCTACGCGTTCGCATACTGAGCTGAAGAAAGCTCCTTGGCAAGTCCAAAGGACGCCGGCCCCAATTCCACCTGCCAGCTGAACAGTGATGAGCAGACTTCTCAAGGGACTTGTGCCAGAAACAAGAGTCTAAGACAGTCTAGTGCTATTTTGTTCCATGCTTTCTGACCTGGCCTATCAAGGAACCGAGCAGCATGGTCGGTAGCTGCAGCGAAGTCCCCTCGATACAAGAGCCATTCTTGGCATTCTTCTCTGCCTGGGTCATACACCCTTCAAGGATTTCCCTGAGACTGTAAGATATAGCTGTATAAACTTTAGCTAACGTCCAGGCCTCACACCCTGCGACCCAACGTGGTAAAAAGATAGGGATTACTCCAATTTGTGCTTCTAGAAATTCATGTTTTTTCTTTTCGAGCGAGAGCTTAGCAAAGCCAAGAGCAGATATCTCGACCTTATGGTGCCATTCTGCTCCGCGGGAGTCTAACGACGTAGCTTAGACCTACGTGGCCATCCAAGTCGGAGGCCTTCAAAATTGATTGAATGCGGGTCAACTTGTGGGCTTTGTTAGTACTCAAGATGCTCCATACCTAAAAATGTTCTCACAAGTATTTCAAACCTGCCCTAGGCGCAGAAATCACCTCCTGACCTGAGCATGCCTGCCCACCTGAGATGTGGAACTGCCGTCTGCAACTCCAGACAACTGTGAGACTGCGAGTATATTCGAGTATGCTATGTACTGGTCAGGCTGCGGGGCCGAGGAGGGTTGCAGGATGTCTGCCCTGTTAGCCTGCTTCAAAATGTGTATGGCTGTCCAGGAAGCGCTTGCCTCCCTGGACTAGACCCACAACTGCTCCTGCAAAAACAAATTATCAAGGCTTTTAGGGTTTGATCGCAGGATGTGCCCGAACAAGCCAATCTGGAAGCCACAGCTCCGTTCGTCAGCTTGGTCCCAAGCACACATTGACGCGGCAGTTGCGAAGAGACCGACGTACACAGCATACCTCAGTCTTGCGAGAGCAACAAAGTTGTGCCTGAGGCACTGCAGCTTGGCATTTGGCGCTGTTGTAAGTTGAGCTATGGCTCAGCCCCATCGACAATGACAAGCCTTTTTTTGACCCGATGAGGCTGAAGACCAGCGTTGACAGAAAAAGGCTGCATACCAGCGTGGCTCCATACAACCTCAGCTGGGTGGTGCATCATTACAGCTCATGCTTGCGCTGGCCCTTTAACCTTTACCTGAGCACAGCACATCGCATTGCCTGCCTGGCCGGTCGAGTTCGTAAGCACTGAAGAGGCGTACCTTGCAAGTATAGATTCCGTTGCATGGGGCTTCCGCAAAGCCGCAAATCCACGACTCTGCATGCAACCACTCACCTCTGCAGACACGCAACTGAACTTGGGTTTTTGCGCGGCAGACCGCGTAAGAACGGCATCATGAGTGTTTGTGGTCAGCTCAGTGTCTTGCACAGCATTGTACAGCAGACTATTCGCAGGATAAAAATGGCATCTGGACAGGTAACCCCAACGCGGCAAGACGCTCATGTCTACATTCAAGGAGCAATATGGGTGTTGTCACTGTGGCATGGTTGATGGCGAATGTCCAGCTCATCACCTTGTTTGTTGCAGAGTAGCATACGACAACACCTCTTTGCAAAGCACCACTTGCTGCTTGAGGCGCAGAGAATTCTCTTCTACAAAGTTTGGCCTCCTGCAAATGAGCAGCATTAGGACTTGCAGCAAAGCTTTTGAGATTCGCTCCAGCACCCCTGCAGGTCCAATCCTCCACGTTTGGAATCAACGCTTCATCCAGCGGTGGTTCGGGTCCTCACAAGATCCCCGCTGTCTACCGCAACACGTGCAGCAGTTGACTTGCCCACGCATGCTGTCCGACGCTAAAGGAGCCCATGGCTCGGTTTGCATCGCCGCTCTGCGACGCCATTGCTGCCACTGTCTTGGGCCCAAGATGCATCAGAAATCGCAGGAGTCGTCTGGAGCTAGAATGGTAAATGAACACAGGTAGACGATGATATGCACAGAGAGGTGATTAGAGCTTGCTCAGACTACAAAGAAGCTGCGATGAAGTCGTACACGATCTTCTGTGCGCCAGCCTGCCTTGTGGCTACATTGGCTGCATGTTCCAGTTGTGCTGAGCTGCGATGGTGTTCTAAAAGGACACCATGGCACCACCATAAACTACATTGCTTACAGGAGCATCGTGAGCTGGCATGATTATGCATCATTCTGTGACGAGAAGCCACTTCTCATAGAATCAGACTCCCTTCCCGCAGCTGGTGTAAAGCCGGGTCGGCGGCCGTCCCGAATTTCACGTCGCTGCTTCAGATCTGCCTAGATTGGTAGAAATGGTACTCAAGCCACCGACCGAATCCGACCGATCTGAATTCGTCGCACCTCGCTGGTGTCGCTGTTTATGCCCACATGCTCCACCTTGCGGCAATTTGCGGCCGGTTGGAAGACGGTCTATCGGTCTATCTGAATCTCTTACATGGCAGGAATCCCACCTCACGACCAAACAGGGAGCAAAACCTATACACCAAGTGCCTTGGTGATTTGTGGCTGCGTTGCATGGTGCAAGGTTGTTTCTCAAGCATCCCAAACCACTGAGATTGCAGCCGCAGGCGCCTGGCGCAGGCAAGGCCAGCGAGGCTTTGCAGCCCAGCACAGCTTTTTTTTGCTTCAATCCACCCGACGAAAAACAGCAGCAAAACAGGCCATGGCACGGACCAGGAGGACCAAGCAGGAACATGTCCTGGAGGGCTGCAGTCACAGCGCGCACCAGAGAGCAGCTGTCAAAGGATGCGAGTTCAAAAAGTGCCACATCCATCTTGTCTCGTCAGTCCTGGCTCATGGCAGCCTTCTGCATCATCCATCGGATCGACTCCAGCTCTGCATGATTTGGGTCTCCGGCCGTCCAGCCACGAAATGCGGGAAGCTCCGGCACTAACAAAGACTGCTTCTTCTCCACTGGCAGGCGGACCCCACCCACTTCTATCCAGGGTCCGCTTAGCTGCGCCTGCTCCTTTCCATCGCACGGAGCCCAAACAGGATCAGGCGACTCCGTGTCGGAGTCAGGCCGCTCCACGGCAACGTAGTCCGCTATGTTGTCTGCGACGGGGTTAAGGGTTCAACAGGTTTCACTGAACTCTCAACGTTCAGCAAGTCAAACCCGCAATCCGGAAACAGCCCCGTGGCCTGGCACTTCATCCCAGTCAAACATGGCATGTCATGGCATCGTCCATGCATGGGAAAGACAGCTGACACAACCTCTTGGCTCTTGGCCTCTTTAGGAGTGTGGAGTTTGGTGGGTCAGGGTTCAGCTCAGAAAACCTCTTGGCTCTGTCAGAGCCTGCTCAGCCCACAATCAACTATGTTCAGAATCTCTGCCGTGGAATCCTTGAGCCTCTTGTCACTCTGCGTCAAACGATTTGAGATGCCGAGTTTGTAACCGGGAGATGCAGGTATCCAAATCAGATCCCATCTTTGAATAATTCCTGCGGAATCCTGCGAGGTTCGCAGCGGCTCTGCAGCGGGGCGCTCTTCTTCAAGCTGCCCCATAGGTATGGTGGCCTCGAGGCCGCATGCTAAGCCGATGCCAAGGCTTTTGTTAAGGCTCCAACATATGGAAATAAGGTGAAACAAGTATCATTTTTGCATACCACAAACACACATTCTCATCAGCCTGAAAGGCCCTGCAAGTGCATAGGCAACGCACGAAGACTCTGCATTAGCGGCATTGATGTTGCTGTACACCGGGATATGTCCAAAAGTCTTGCAGAACTGAACATACTCGAAAGTTACAGATCATAGAACTGCGAATCAGGCTTTTGGAGATCCCTTGTTTTGTGCGAGTCGCTCGCACTTTGAGGCGTGCTGGTGGATGACCGTGACCGTGGCACAGCAACGACCGTCCTCACCCACTGCCGCAGGTCAGCGCCCGGCCTCTTGCAACATGTCAACTACAGCTCCCTGCATGAGAGCCGTTTGGTTGCCAAAGACAAATGAAGGTGCACATAGGTGCAGAAGCCCACGAAGACCTGCTTAGCTTTATGTTATGTATGTGCTACAGAGAACCATCTGCAGTTTCGAAAGGCCATTCTGTCTGCCAAGCCGACTTTGGGGCAAACTGGCAAGAGAATACTCTTTTGGAGTAGCGGCGCTGTTGTGGCAACAGGCACGGGCACGCCACGGGCACACGGGCACGGGCACACGGGCTCACGGGCACCTCACGGGCTCACCTTTCGTAATCGTAATAGTAGTAGTAGTAGTAGTAGTAGTAGTAGTAGTACGCGCGACGCGCATATTTGACGACCCGTCCGTTT